GGTTTCCCTAAAGGCCTCCTGCCCCCAATCCCTGCTCTTGGGGAGAAAGCAGCAGAGGTCAGGTTTCCCTAAAGGCCTCCTGCCCCCAATCCCTGCTCTTGGGGAGAAAGCAGCAGAGGTCACCTTACCTGATCGCTCATGTCTCCAGACTCCCAGAGGGCGAACACCTTCTGCTCATCGGGGGACGCAGCAGTCTGGGGGGGAAACTAACCAAGGCCCAGGTGTGAGCTGTTTGTCTTTACCGGCTGGTGCACCCGCCCTGCCCCTCTCCCTCCCACTCTGCGTGGGCCCCGTCTAGGGAATGAGCCCATGTGAGACCAGGGGTTCCAGTTCCAGCTCTTGCCACTCACTAGGGCTGCAGTAGGATGGAGCAGGAACCCCCAGATTCAATTGACAAGGAGGGGAATCTGGTTTCTGCTTCACAATGCTTGGCATTCGCTCACCTCCAACATCCAGTATCGTCCTACCCTAAACATAAGCCCTCAGACGTGTCCTGAGAAGCACTCCCACCCCCACACCACCCTAGGAGTATCCTAGGGATTCCTTCCAGCCCCTTCCCTCAAGGGCTATGGCGGGACAGGTGAGAGGCCCTGCCCGACTCCCAGGCAACCCACACCCCTTGGTTCAGCAGGGTCCAAAGGCAGACCAAGGAAAGGGGGGCCTGGCTCAGGGCGCCTGGTAGAGGGGTTTCCAGCCCTGACCCCACAGCACAAGCAACAGTGGCCGCTCCTACAGCATAAGCCCAGAGGGACCGGAACTGCACAATCTCATTTGATCATCAGAAACCAGAGAGGCGGGAGAAAGGTGTTGCAGCCCCCCGCTCCAGGGGGAGAATCCAGCTCAGCGCTGGCGTCGTGTCTGCTCATACATCTAACGCGTGGCAGAACCGAGAGTCTCCTCACTCTCCCTGGACCTCAGCGCCCTGAGGCTGCACACAGCGGAGGGCTTTTCCTCCTCGGAGGGGACCATCCCCTAGGGTCCCTACATGAGGATCATGGGGAGGGAGGTCGACTCGGGCAGCAGAGAGGGGCCACGGTCTCCTGGGGACACCAGCCCCACCAAGAGGAAGGAGCAGGGCAGGGGTACCTAAGAGCAGCCTACCTCATGTCCCTCCCCGATCCAACTCCAGACCCCAAGCCGGCCTAGCTAACCCTGGGCAGGCGCCCTTCCCCTGCCTGGCCCAGCTCCAACAAAGGGATCCTGGAGCTAACTAGACCCATTTGCTGGGTGGGCAACTGTGGCTCCAAATAGGGCAGGGCCCCCGTACCCTGGTACCTCCCACAGGAAACTGCACCACCGAAGGCTCCCCGCCACGAGGGCCAGATCTCCCGGGACAGCCTAGCCAGCATGGGATCCAGGGCCTCTCGTCCTAGTGTGCGAGTCTCACACAAAGATGGCCTTCGCCTCAGGTCACCTGAGGCTACAGGTGCTTCTGACCTTGACCTGCAAACGTCCATGTTCCCTTAACGGGCAGCCACAGTCCCACACCAGACCTGCCTGCTGCCGGGTCTGAGCCGAGCCTGGGGGGACAGAATGACCAGCACCACTTCCTGAAGCCACAGCCTGGCCCTCTCCACCCTCGGCTAAGGCAAATGGTCTGCAACACGCCCTCCGCCCCTGCGCTTCTCCCAATTTTAGCGTTACGTGCTGCCGGAGCGAGCACTCCTGTACTTCTCCCACTCCAAGGCCAGTGCCGACAGAGGGCAAGAGGCCCGGGCTGTGGGTGGCTCACGCTGCCACCTGTAGGCCCAGCGGCAGAAACACTGGGCACACTGGCCAGCGTCCTCCAGAGCCCGGGCGGCACAAGCCGAGGGCTCGGGCCAAAGGGTCAGAGCGTCGGTTAAAGCAGGAAGGATTTCAGCCCTGCTGCCGCTACACTCGGCTTCCAGCTCCCGCACCTCCTGGGCACACGACCTTCACACAATCTCACTTCGCTTCTCTGAAAATCAGTTCCTACACCTTCCAATCGCAAAGATCAAATGACAGCAGTGAAATCCTGAAAAACGGCGGCGCCGACAGCGACCCTCATGGACCAAGGCCCTCCTATAGGCCAAGCAAGGGGTTAGCGCCTTCGGACACCGCAGTGGGCCCTCGCCCAAGGCCCAGGGTACCAAAGCCCACACGTGCCCACAGCAGAAGAGGGTGCAGAGCCCGAGGGCGCGAGCTCACACGAAGCCGGCCCGTGAGAACCAATTCGGACCAAGGCCATGCTCCTCCTGAGTTCCCAGGCAGCCTCCCAACCACTGGCTCCCCCAAAGCAAGCAGGGCGCAGGCCACCGCAGACGGCCCCCACTTGCCTTCCCGCCGGGAAAGGGGCCGCGTGCCCGGAGCCCTCCGGAGGGGCAGAGGCGGCCTTGCGCGTCCGCCCCGGAGGCGCCGCGCTCTACTTACAGGCACCAGGATCTGCCTGCAGCCGGCGGCCAGCACCGTGTCCTGCAGCATGCGGTCCGAGATGCCGCTGAACAGCGTGTGGCCGGGCGGCAGGCTGGCCAAATGCAGGTTGAAGAGGCGCTTGAGTTCACTCAGCGTGAGCACGAACTGTCTCTGGAAGGTGGCCTCCACGAAGGCCCTCAGTTCCTGGGCCACCGGGGCGCTGGCGCAGCCCGGCGGGTGCCCGTTGAAGCTGTCCCCGCCGGCCGCCCGCCCGCTAGGCAGCCCGTTGGCCAGCCTGTTGTGGAGGCCGCCACCAAGAGAGGTGTCCATGGGCTCCTCCTCTTCCTCCGCCTCTCGATCTTCCTCGTCCTCGCCCTCCTCACTCACGGGCTCCTCCTTGATCCGCACGCCGGGCAGGACCGCGGACGCCCGCAGCTGCTCCTTCCTCCGCTGCAGCTCCCGCTCCAGCAGGGCGTGGTTCTGCTGGGCCTTGCTTTTGGCCACTTGGACCCGCTGGTCCCCGGAGAGCAGCGCAGCAGGCCCTGTGGGGACACGCAGTGCTGCTGTGGGGGCTCCGGGACAGCGCAGAGAAGGGCCCTTCGCCCAGCGACAACCCGTGCCAGCCCGACGGGGCTGAGGCAGGTGCTGTGCTCCCGCCTCTCCCCGCCGCCTGACCCGGGAGGGACGGAGCTCCCACCACCATGAAGAAAGAAACAAGTGGGGAAAACCAGAATCCCACGCTGGGAGGTTCAAACGAGGATGGGTGACTGCCGAGTCCCTCCCTGCCAGTTCCTCCTGTCCTACCGCCACCTTCTGCCAACCCAGGAAGGCCTGCACCCCAGCACAGCCCCAGAGTTCAGAAGCCCTCAGTCCCCGAGGCCAAGCCTTAAGCTGAGGTCTGTGGGGAAGGGGGAGGACGGCCCAGAAAGGACACCCAGTGGGGAGAGCCACACACCCCTCTCCAGCCCAAGCCCTGACAAGCCCCGCAAAGCAGGCCTCCCGGAGCCGGGGCTGGCTCAGGGGCCCCTTGCCCACCTGACTGTCCATCTGACTTCTTTGGCAAGCTTTCCTTCACAAGATTATATACTTTTTCTAATCTGAAAAGAAAAATAAACTCTCTTAACTTTACGCCTCGTCCCCAGTCACCTGCCTCGCTACAGCGAGCCCCGCCATCGAGGCAGGGATATCCCGGTGGCTGCGGATGCTGGCGCACGGAGCCCTGCCAGCCCTCCCGACAGCGCGCAGGCCCCACGCCCCCCGGGAGCCTCCGGGCTGGGGCGGGCGGCGGTGCCCCTCCCAGCTCCTCAGAACAGACAGGCCAGCTCTGATCAGGAGGGTAGCTGTGCCAGGCCGGTGCCGGGGGGCTCTGGGATCGAGCCACAGCATCCATCCGGAGTGGAGGCAGGGGTGTGCAGGGCCCCAGAGTGCCTTCCCCGGCCCACACTCGGCCTGGGCGGCCAGGCGGCTGCGGACTGCCCAGCGAGCCCTTACTTGGCCTGGATGCCCGTCCACAGCATGTGCTGCCGCTGGACCACATCGGGATGTTTCTTGATGAACTCCCCATCGTAAGGCAGTATGAACTCCCAGCCTTTGTTGATCCTCACCACGGCCATGTGCTCCAGGAAGTCCTTCACATCCTCCGTGCAGAGCTGCGGGAGACAACAAAGGTGAGGCCCGCAGGCCGGGAGCCGCCTGACCCCACTCCCTGCAGCTGCAGGGCCCAGGCCGCAACGGAGGGCGGCACTTACTTTAGTCACTGCCGCCACCTCCTTCCTCACCACCCACCGGCTCTGCGTGAACTTCCACATCTGAGGGAGAAAAAGCAGCCTGTTTCCAGGAGGCAGAGACAGATGGCTCCGAAGACCATCCCCCAGAGCCCAGCAGTTGTCCTGGGGGCCTGGGATGAGGGAAGACCGTCCCCGACGAGAACTCAGATTGCACTAGCCGCCTCCTCCCAGGCCCGACGCCGACAGCGACCGCACGCATGGACACGGGCTGGCAGGCAGTGGCCAACGGCACACGGGCTCCGGTGAGCGAGCCCAGGAGTGGATATCCGCTGCACTTTGGCACCGAGACAAAAAGTGCAAGGCCACCTAGCCTCTAACTGTCCAGAGAAGCTGGGACATCCGCTAAGGCGAAGAGAAAACTCTCGAACAGCTTAGGGCTGCCCTACGCACATCACGGTCACTGCGGACAGCTTAGGAGACTGATTTCCCCAAACTCGAAGCACAAAGCTGAGGTCAAGGGAGGCAGTGCAGATCTCAGCTGCCAGGGTCCAAGCCCCGAGAGGGATGCCTGGGCCAGGACTTACTGGACGAGGGCGGGGCAACGGAGTGGGGGCATGAGCTGGCTCAGGAGTTGCCAAGAGCCACAGCAATAAGGGGGGGAAACACATACAAGAGAAGCAGCCTGCCTGGACCATGCGGGATGCTGGCCCTGTCGGGCCCACCCAACGTCAGTGCCAGTCAGGGGTTTAGGCCCAGCGGTACTGAACTGCCCAATTATTCGTAATGAGCTAGAAATCTGGTTTGTACCAGGATTTTGAGTTGTAAACATTAGTTCAAGTGAACTTTTTTTTTTAAGATTTTACTTATTTGACAGAGAAAAAAAGCACAAGAAAGGGGAATGGCAGGCAGAGGGAGAGGGAGAAGCAGGCTCCCACCGAGCAGGTAGAGCCTGATGTGGGGCTTGATCCCAGGTCATAGCCTGAGCCTAAAGCAGATGCTTAACCCACTGAGCTACCCAGGTGACCTCAAGTGAACAGTTTAAAAAAAAATACTGCTCAGGCCAAATGAAACACGTTCCTTAGCCAGAGTCCACCTAAGGGCCTCTGGTTTGTAGTCCCCAGGCCAAAGGAACTCTAACGTTCATATGAAGCCCAAGATCCCAGGATTCCGAATCAAAGGAGAAAGAAACATCCAGAGCCACCCCCTGCCCTCGCCCTGGCCACAGAGACCTGCCCTTCCCCTGTTGCCCGAACCGAGGTCCTGACAGCCCTGCCCTGCCCGTGGAGCCCCCGCCACAATCCCGGATGACCGGAGGCCAGAGAGCCTGGGCACTTACAACAAAGTCACGACCGCGGCAGAGCACCTCAGCAGGCACACCACTGTGAGGGCTGGAGGAGTCCTTGGGGTACAGGATGTCACTGCCAATGAGAGCAGGAGCAGGGGGTCAGTCCCATTCCTCAGCCCCTCTGCCGCCTGCCGCACCCCACCCCCAGCTCCAAGCGCTGGCCCAGCCCCTGCCTCTCCAACATGGGCTGGTACAGCTGCCCCCGGGGTTGCCCTTTCAACCGTGGAGCCTGGCTCTGTGAACACATGTAGAAAAGAAACACTTTCCCTGTACACATCCCCCAAGAGTCGTTTCTCTCAGCCTTTCACGACCTTCCACGCACACACTGGCCCAGCCCCAAGGCCCATGGCAATCAGGAGGGCAGGGGCTCGGAAACAGGCCTGGGACTCTGGGAAGACAGCGAGTCCCACATGCAAGGCAGGTGTGAGGCCTAGAGAGACTGACTGGGAAGTAGGACACAAGGTCTCCACCACCTGCCCCAAAAGACAGGCAGGCAGTGTGAGTGGGAGCAAGACAGGTCAGTGGCTGGGACCTGGATGGACCCTGAGGCATGAGTGGGGCTGAAGCCTTTGGAGCAAATGGGACCAGCAGTGCAGCTCAGAGAACTTGAGGGCCCAAGGGCAAATGACCAGGTTGCTGAGGCTTACAGGTATAACCTTGACCAAGTTCAGCCACAGACCCTGTCATATACCCCACCCCAACCCCCACCCATCCTATGCCTGAGGAGCCTCTGCTCTCCGGCGCCACTCCTGCTGGGAGCTCTCTTTCCTCCCCTCCTCAACCCTCCCTGGCAACCAACTAATACTCTTCCCTCCAGGTCGAGCTCTGTGTCCACTCCCTTCCCAGAAACACGCTATGGGGACAGGAACCATCACTGCCACACAGAGGGAAGGGAGCCCCTAGGAAGGGACTGAACGAGTGGCGAATGTGGTGCGTGCCCCGGGTCTCTGCACTCGGTGAGCTCATCTGTAATGGTGCCCCTGTCCACCCCACACATCTGAGGATGGGGACAGCGCGTGAATGACAGCAGAGCACAGGGCGCAGAGCACGCCATGGAGACAGATTTAGTGTACAATGTGTGAATTCTCCATCTCCTCACAGAACACCCAGGGACCAACAAGGAAGGAGCACCACCCCCAGGCCGCGACGTGGCAGTGAGGGCTCGCAGCAGGACCTGAAGCACGGGGGCGGACAGAACACATGAGGCCTGGGAGGCCCTACCTTCAGGTCTCAGGGACAGACCCCAGGCTGAAAGGGCAGAAGCACCAGGGCCACAGGCAGTGCTGGGCAAAGAGCTCAAACCCCGGCTCGGTGGCTGCCTTGCTGCCAGACGTTTGGCAAGTTTCTGCATCTCAAAGTCAGTGTCCTCGGGAGTGATGGGACGGCCCCTCCTAGCTCTCGCTCACTCGTAGCATAAATACACCAAGGTGGTCCCATTTAACAAGTGACGCACCATCCGAAGACCTTCCATAACCAAACGACGTGGCTGGAGAGCACAGCCGCGACCTGACAGACCCTGGACATGTTTCCCAGTGCAAGGGCGCCACCAGGTGGCAGCAACGTGAATAGCCTTTACAATCACTTGGCCAACTAACCGAAACGATGGTGTGTTCCACAATGAAGTACTTGAGAATTTTGAACAATTCCTATTTTGACAGATTGTTCGCCTTACACACACTTTCTAAAAAGTTGAGGCTTTATTAGCGTATTTTATGTTACACCATTTTAAATTAACATAATCCAGGTACACATAAAATCCAGCCACACTTAGAAGCAAGGCTCTAAGATGTGCCAGGCATTATACTGAGTGCCAGGGACAGGAGAGAGGGTCCACACAGAAGTCCCTCCCTGCCTTGCAAGTGACAGTCTGGTGGAGGGATCACAGGAGAGAAACTCCTGAAAGGCATCAAGCCACATGCTCCAAACCCCACAGCACATGTGAAAGGAAACTCACGCTCAGACGCATCTTAATGAACTGTGGAAAGCCATAAGAGAAAATCTCAAAAAGAGCCAGAGGGAACCAAGCGTAAAGAGGGTAGACTCGTCACTAGAAACAACGGGAATGAGAATGCAATGAAATCATGTCAGCGTGTGGAAGGAAAACAATCAACCTCGAATTCTACACTCAGGAAAAATATCCTTTAACAAAGGTGGAATAGACGTCTCCAACCATACGAAACCCAAGGGAGTGCCTCCCCTGCAGACCTTCGTTACAGGAAACACCCTAGCGGTTTCTGGAAGAAGGAAATTATCCCAGATAGAAACTCGGACACAGAGACTCATGATGAGCAAAATAAATAGTATGTGAGCAGATCTGAAGAATACTGACTGGATAGGACACTGTTCTGTGGGTTGTAAGATACAATTAAAAACTATAAATACAATGGCACGTGAGTTGGGAGGAAGAGAAATAACATTCCAAGGTCTCTGAATTGTCCTGGATGAGGGTAAAACACAGCAACTCGTATTAAACACGATCAGTTATGAATGCATCAATGACCCTGAAATCTACAGGGTACTCACTAAAGGAACCCAGAAAGGATAATTTCCAAATTGGCAGGGAGAAATGGAATAATAAAACAAGAATCCAGTAGCTGGTAAGAATGGACATAAAATGCAGGACAAACAGACAGAGCAATGGTAGACTTAAACCCAAAACATCAGTCATCACGTTGAATTTAAGCGGGTCAGATCCTCCCACACAGAGAACTTACCTCTTCACAACCCAGTTTCCTTGGACTAACATCGCCACCTTCTGGATGCCACGCAGAACAGCCACGGAGTCGATGGAGGGGCCGAGGAGGCTCATCAAGTTGGCAAAAGGCATGACCTTCACTGAGGACACAGGAGACATGAGACAAGGGAAGAGAGCCTGGGCACGCCCCTCCCCAAGTCTATGCAGCCTCAGGCTCCCATTGCCCCCCAAGTGCTGGACCAACGCTGGTGACACAAGTAATAAGCGCTGACTCCACTGGCTGCTCCTGCAGGCATCCCACACTCGCAGAATCCTGGAGCGAACACCCCAAGGGCTGCTCCGCAAGACTATTACAGGATGCCTGGCTGGCTAGTCGGTATAGTACACGACTCTAGATCTCAGGGTCATGAGTTCGAGCCCGACATTAGGTGTCAAGCCTACTCAGGGTGGGAAAAAAAAAGGTAAAACCATTACTGCTGGGGCCCAGAAAGGGCCTGGAGTAGGTCCCATGTCCTCCACAGCAAGGCCAGTGGCCTGGCACCCTGGCGGCCCCAGGGGGAGCTGGGCCCTCCCCTCTGCTCAGGCTCCTGGAGACCCTAAAAGTGGTAGCTCTGGAGGGGGGCCCGGGCCCGGGACTCAGCTCTGAGACTCAGGGCTCATGTCTGCCCTACAGGTTCTGGCTCTCCGAGTCCTCTGAGAAAGGAGACCCGTCCCTGCTGTGTGCAGGGGCGCCACAAAGTCATGCGAGTGAATGAACGGAGCTCATGTTCACATGCAAGACTCTGGGTAAGCCGTTAAGCTGTAGGCCAGCCCTCCGGAGCTCTCCTAGTTCCTTAGACGCAGGGGGATCAGCCGCCTGCCCAGGCTCTCCCAGCAGGGGAGTGCTAGGTAGGGGTAGAGCAGGAACCCGAGCCCAGGTGAGGGAGCCGCCGCGTGCTGCAGTGCGGTCCTTCTAGGCAAAGCCCCAGCTGTAAAGCAGGAGCCTCTGGCCTCGCCTCTCTGTCCTCAGTCTGCCCCACACTCCGTTCCCCCAGGAGGTGGTAGGCCTAGGGCCCCCTGGGGGACGCGGGTGTCCACCCACCATTCTTCATCAGGATCTTGATCTGATCAGCCAGGGGCAAGGTGCGCAGCTGGGCCATGGACAGGACGTTGCTGGGGGCCACGGGTTTGTCTCTGTTGAAAACAGAGACGGTGGGTTAGAGGAGGGGGTGAGAGGGGAGATTTGGGGTGGGGAGGGTGGCGTCCAGCCCAGCTCTACTCACTTCTCCTCCTCCGGGCTGGGGGGCATCAGCATCATGAGGTATTCGCTGCAGGGGAGAGGGTAGGGTCAGCAGCTCCTGGGCTCTGTCCCTGTCCCACCCCCGCCCGTAAATCCAGGCTGCACCTAGGCTGAAGCCTCCCCAGGGGAGGGCTGGGGGCTGAGACCCATGCCCACCCTCCCCTAGCTTCCCCCAAACCTGCGGAGAGCGGACGACCATCTCTTCCCACATCCACCCCCCACTGGCCCTCTCCAGAGGATGACGGGCCCCCTCCCATGTCCATCTCCCTTGCTTCAGAAGGGACCACATCCCCAGGAAGGCCCCACACCAAAGGGACCCTACTGGGGCCAGTGGTAGGCTCAGGAGCCCACAGGGTTAAACACCCTGGCCCGGCCAGTCCCACCTGGGTGACTTGACGAGCTCTGTGTTCTCGACCCCGCTGGAACCCTGGCACAGCAGGTACTGGCGCTCGTGCTCAGAGCGGCTGTCCTGTTGGGGAAGCAGCAAGGTGGGAGGACCCTCAGCCACCACCCTGGGGCCTGCACCACCCCCCTGAGTCCCTCTGCCATACAGTTTTCACCCCTGCATCACCTTCCACTCCAGCTGCCCACTGTCCTGCCCCAAGGCCAGCCACAAAATCACATCTAACCACCTGAGCATGGCATTCAAGGCCTCTGTGAGGTGGCCTTAACCATTTCCAGCCCCAGCACCCATGTCTTAGGTGCCCTGCCTGGGACACAGGGCTAGTAATCACCAACAGTAAGAGGATCAGCTAACAGTCACTCAGCACCTACTACGGGCCAGGCTCTGGTCTAACAGCTGCATATATACATCAACTTATCTCATTCGGTAATTTGCATAAAGTCACACACCAGGAAAGAGCAGAGTTTCTGGAAGTCTGACTCTAAGGCTCTGTCCACATGGACCTCTTTCAGGAAAGTTCCAGAGAAATCAGGAGTTGCTCCTCCCCCAGAAAGATGTCGGGGAGCCCTACGGCATCTTTGGCTTCGATTCAATCACTTCCCTTACTCCAATACAGTTTCAAGGTCTGGGTTTTAAGCACATGAGATGAAAACCAAGCATCGTCAAAGCACCTCGGCAGACACGCGGTGAAGCAGGCCCGCGACGGCCGGCCGGTTCTCCATCGAGGGCCTGCATTCAGGACCCTCGACGCATGAGAACGTGAACCAAACACCCGCCCCGCCCTGGGGCCAGCAAGAAGCTCACTGGAGGAGAGCCTGGGGATGCGGACACTGCTGCCCCAGGAAACGGTGGGCTCCTTTCTCAGTCTCCTGCTCCCCGGGGGACACATGCTAAGTAGACTGGCTGGAACAAAGGACAAACTGTCCCCAGGACTTCACCCTCTCTCCCCGGGCTCCCCACCACCAAGTGGCTCTCACTTATTCTGAAATCAGTTCCAGGTGAGACTGGGCTCCTCTCCCAGGACCCTGGCCCAGGGCCAGCGTCAGCCGCCGGCCGGGACCCCAGCTCACCCTCAAACCATAGTAGTGCAGATGCACCCACGGCTCCTCGGCGTGCTTCTTCTGCAGGAACTCATAGGACTGCACGCGGCGCTGGCGGGCCTGCTCCGACTCCGGACGGGAGAACCGCACCTGGGGGGGCGGGGGCAGGTCGTGGCCTCAGGCCTGGACCCATCCTGGGCTGCCGGCCCGCGCCCACAAGACTGGAGAGCCCAGCACCACTCCCACCTCCCCTTGTTTCCCGACACACATCTCTTAAATTCAGCTCCAACCGTGTCCCTCTGTCCCTGACTTGCCGACACAGGCCAGGGAGCAGCTTTCCCTTGCTTCTGCCTGCCCGGCACCCAATCCATTTCCACTCCCACTGGTAACAGCCGCCCCCCACTTTCCTTGGGAAATGCCCAGTTCCCCCTCAGCTCAGGGGAGCAAGTATCCCTCCCCCAGCCCCCACCCCCACACACGTTCCCAGCCACAGGAGTGGGCACGTGACTCAGACCTGGACAATCCGAGCACCAAATCCTCTTAGCCACAGGGGCTGGTTCAGGGTTGGCCAAGCCAATGAGTCCAGTCTGGGACTTTAGTTAGAAGTAATGAGAAAGAAGTTTCTTTTCCCCTGGGGTCTTGGAAGCTGGGAGGATGTGAGCCTGGAGCTGGGACAACTCTGTACCACTGGGGACAGACACCCTGCCTGAGAAAGAGGCCAAAAGAGGAAGGCAGAACCTGGAGATGGAGGGAGAAACCAGGTCTCGATGACAGAGTCTGAGCACCTGAATCCAGCCATACCTGAAGCTACCCCCTCAACTTTTCAGTAACAGGGGCCAGTACATTCCATTTGGGGTTCATGCCAGGTAGATTTGGGCTTCTGCTGCTTAGCGTCCCGACCGAACAGGGCCCTCACACCTCTCTTATCAAGAGGACCCATGGAGGGGCATTGGTGGATTACAGAACCCTGGGATTCTTTTTTTTTTTTTTTTTTTAAAGTAGGCTCCATGCCGAACATGGGCCTTGAACTCATGACCCTGAGATCAAGAGTTGCATATTCTACTGCCTGAGCCGGCCAGGCGGCACAGAATCCTGGGATTCTACATGGGTCTTCTGAAGTTCATGGGCCTAAGAATGACTTGTTTAACAAGGGCCAACTGAGTCCCCAAGAAGGGAAGGAGGGTGATCATTCAACAAGCCACTGAGAGAACAGGGTGAGCACCCACCCCCTCACAGCGGTCATATCGGTATCGCCCCATCTTCAAGGATGCGCAAAGGCTCACAACGTAAGCCATGTCTGAATGCCGCCCATGTCACTATTTATGCCTTCTTCCTTAAACACTCATTTTAACCTTCTGTGCTTACACAGAGGAAACTCTACAAGCCATTAATGGAAGGTCAATATTCTTCTCACAGTGTATGAAATACAGGAATAAATATTAAAATAGGAATGTTGCATCTGTGCACCACTGAAAAGACAGAATTACATGGTTAAGTAACACGGGATTCTGGCTCCGCTGGGACACAGGCTTCACGGCACAGACTGTGTGGGTCCCCCGGACCTCCTAGGCCCCAGTTTCCTCCTCCCACCCAATTCCAGTTCCAGCCACACCCCAGGGTCCCTGCTCTACAGAAGCCCCGGGCAGCTACCCTGTATTTAGCTGGGCCAAGTCGGGGGTGGGTGGAGGGGTGCGGTGGAGACAGGTTAGCCCTCCAGGCTGCCCAGCAGGAAGGCTGGAAGGATGGGCCCCTGTTTTGGTACCTGTTTCACCCCCAGAGCCCGGGTTCTGCAGAGCCCCTCCCACCCCATGCAGCCTCCAGGCAGCTGAGCTACCACGCGGGCTCCGCTGCCCCCCCAGGCGGCACCCCCTCTCCTCGCGGCCAGAGTTCACTCACCGTGATCTGCTTCACGTCTTCTTCCGCCTCATCCTGCGAAGAGTCTCCTGCTGCAAGAGAAAGCGGACGCTGCTTGCGGCCTCTGGTGTTGCCCCCAGTTCCCCAGGCTTCAGGCAGGGGTGATGGGAGTTCTAGACGAGGTCAGCGGACAAGTCAGCGCTGTTTAGCTGGTAGCAACTGTGCCCACCAGGGGCCACTGCGAAATGCAGGAAGACGTCTGTTGTCCAGCGGTGCGGGCGAGTGCTCCTGCGGCCGGTGGGAAGAGCGGGGACGCTGCGAAGCATCCTGGACTCCGCCCCCCTGCAGATTTTCCCACAGCCAACCCATCCCAAGATGCAGCCAGAATGAAGGGCCAGGGGTCCAGGGCTCACCCTCATTGGCCGCCTCCCTCTCCCGGTGCTTTGCGTCTGCCTTATCCAGGTAGGAGAAGCTTGGCCGCAGCTGCAGGATGCCATGGAGAGGCGTCAGGTGCAGCTCACCTGGCAGAGGAAGAAGGCCTTGGACTTGACTCTGGGAGCTGGGGCCAAACCACCCAGCTTGGCTCACAGCAGTCACAAAGGGCCCCCCGCTCCCCCAAAGGCCTCTGCCCACCTGCCCCCTCTGCTCTAGCCCCCAGTCCCAGGGCCTTGGGACCACCAGGCCCGCGGCCCTTCCCCACCCCACCTGGCCCAGTAAGCACACAGTTGTAGCAGAGCACGAACCCAGACTCTTCTGCCCCAAGACAGTTCATTTTTGTTTTTTGGTTTTTGTTTTTTTTTTAAGATTTTATTTATTTGACAAAGAGATCACAAGTAGGCAGAGAGGTAGGTAGAGAGAGAGGGGGAAGCAGGCTCCCCGCCAAGCAGAGAGCCTGATGCAGGGCTCAATCCCAGGACCCTGAGATCACCACCCGAGCAGAAGGCAGAGGCCCAACCCACTGAGCCACCCAGGCCCCCCTCCAAGCCAGTTCTTTAAGCCGCCCTACACTCCCTCCCCCATGAGCATCAAAGGCCCTTATGACCCTGGTCACCACCCCTTCCCCCCAGTGGCTTGCTCTGGCACACGGCAACTTTTCCACTCTGAACACAGCCTGCTCTTCCCCACCAGGCCACTCAAGGACACCCTCAATGCCCACCGCCCACTCCCCACATCCACGCCCACTCATCCTCCAGCTTGGCTTGTCAAAATCCCATCCAAACCACTCAGAAGTCTGCTAGCGCAAATATGGCTCCCCCCCGGCCTGGCCAGCTAGGGGAGTATCTACACGGTCCCGGACGCAGTCAGGACTTTTCCTTGTGAATGAAACCTGTGCACTGGCAGGCAGTGCAAAGACCATCAATTTCTCTCAAGTCAATGTGGGCTTGAAAGAGAAGAAATAACATACTAAGGCTCTGGTAAGGGGCTCTCTGAACTCCAGAGGGAGCGGAATGCTTGCAGTCAGGACTACAGAAGCAAATGGTCCTACAAATACCATATGACTTCACTCATAAGTGGAATTTAAGAAACAAAAGAACAGGGGGGAAAAGAAGCACACACACACACACACACACACACACACACACACACACACACAGAGAACAGATTTGGGGCTCCTGGCTGGCTCAGTTGGAAGAGCACGAGATTCTCGATCTCTAGGTTATGACTTTGAGCCCAAGCTGGGTGGGCATGGAGCCTACTTAAAAAACAAAACAAAAACACAAAACACAGAACCCACAGACTCGTCACTGAGCAAACACACTGATGGCAACCACAGGGAAGTTGGTGGGGGGGATGGGGGAATGAGGTGATGGGGATTCAGGGTACACTAGTGGTGAGGACCAGAGTCAGGTACAGAATCACTGAACCACTCTACTGTACACCTGACACTAACAGAACACAGTTCGTTAATAATACTGGAATTTACAAAATTAAAAAGGAATCATCTTACCACTGTACATACAAGAATAATTTTCAGAAATGTTAAAAATTTTGGTATAAAATACTATAAATACCGGAAAAAACTTTAGGGGCGCCTGGATAGCTCAGTCGGTTAAGCGTCTGCCTCAGGCCCAGGTCATGATCCCAGGGTCCTGGAATCGAGTCCCACATCCAGCTCCCTGCTCAGCAGGGAGTCTGCTTCTCTCTCTACCCCTCCCCCTGCTTGTGCACACTCGCTCTCTGTCAAATAAAAAATTTATTTATTTATTTTTTTTTTTAAGGAGAACCTTTGTATGAACGTAGGATGGGAGAAAAAATCCTAAAGAAAACAACATAAGAGACTCAGAAAAAAAGGACAGGACAGGTATGTCTGGCCAGATGGCACAAGTTCTGGAGATGGACGGAGGTGATGACTGCACAGCAGCACAGATGCCCTCAGTGTTACTGAACTGCACACCAGAAAATGGTTACGATGGGGGTGCCTGGGTGGTATAGTCAGTCAGACGTCCGACCAGTTTCGGTTCAGGTCATGAGCTCAGGGTCGTGAGTTCAAGCCCCGTGCTGGGCCCCGCACTCAGCGCGGAGTCAGTTTATGATTCTCTTCTTCCTCAGCCTACTCCCCGCCCCCTACCCCCTGCCCCCGGAAGCACGTTTTCTCTAAATCTTTCCCCAAAATGGTTAAAATGTAAATTTCATGTTATGTACACTTTACCATAATAAAAATTAATAAAAAGAAACGAACAGCCCAGGTGCAAGGCTTGAGACATGGGTTCAAAAAAGGCTATAGTTATCAGATGCTACTTTGAGTCCATTCTAGTTGTTTCCTTAGCATTCAAATTAGTTTTACTTACTGCTTTATGAATTCTAAATACTTACTTTTTAATGGCTCTATTGTGATATAATTCACATGCCATACAAAACTCACCATTTAAAGCACACTGGTCAGTGTATTTTACTGTATTCCTGGAGTTGTACATCCAGCACTACAATCAATTTAAGAACATTTTCAGAGGAACCTGGGTGGCTCAGTCCGTTCAGCGTCCAACTCTCAATTTCAGCTAAGGTCATCATCGCAGAGGCATGAGACTGTGAAGTCTGCTTGGGATCCTCTCTCTACCTCTGTCCCTCCCCCACTCCCTGTGAAGAACATTTTCATCTCCCCAGAAAGAAACCCCAAACCATCCTCAGTCACTCCCCATTCCACACTGCTCTCAGCCACAGGCAACTACTACCTGCCTCTCCGGGACACCTCCTGACCTGGACGGCTATGACACGTGGCCTTCCGCGAGCGGCTGCTCTCACTGGGCACCACGTTCCCAGGCTCATGCGCACCAGGGGACGGTCAGCACCTCCCTCCTGACGTAGCCAAACACCATTCAACAGCACGGCCTAGTGCACCTCGCCATCCAGGCGTCCGCTCGCAGACTTAAGGACTGTTCCTACCTTGTCACTACTATGAATAATGCTGCTACGAACATCCGCGTACAAGTTTTGTGTGGGTGGATGTTTCGCTTCTCTTGGGTAGAGGCTGTCTAAGAGTAAAATTGCTCATGCGGAAGTATCTTGTATTTTTTTTCTTTTTTGAGAGGGACGGAGAGACAGCATGAGTGACTGAGTGAGTAAGGGGAGGGGCAGAGGGAGAGAGAATCCCAAGCAGACGCCCTGCTGAGCGTGGAGCCTGACGCGGGGCTCCATTCTAGCACCCTGAGATCATGACCTGAGCCGAAATCAAGAGTCGGAGGCTCCACCAGAAGCCCCGCAAGTACCTCGTGTTTAAAACAAAATTCTCGAACCGGTCTCAAAAGCCATGCTGTATGTCTGTGTCCCAGGAGGACAGTGACCTTGGAAGCACTGCCTCTATCAGGTCAGGCAGCATCAAAAGCCAGAAGTCCTTAGAGGTGGCCTATTCCAGCCCCCTGACGGTGTCATTTCTATAATCTGCCTGGCCCCTATGGGCATCCAGCATTTGGGGAGCAGCAGGCTGGGTTCCCCCCACCCCAGCCCCCATCCCGCTTCCCTCCCAGAAAGCGGCCTCCCAGAGCCACGGCAGCCCGGCTGCCCAGCGCAGGTACCTTGCCTGTAGAGTGCAGCAGCGTATCGGGCTGTGTTACTGGTGCTCTGGGAGGAGCAGAATGTCTGCTTGTCCATCAGCTTCCTGGGAGCACAGGGAGAACAGACTTCAGGGGAAGGAAGCTCCAGGCCCAGGGCATGGCAGGCACAGCCTCTTCCACCCCGGACACCTCCTGAATTCAACATCCAGGGACAGAGATCAAGGCCCCAAGTCAGCATGTGTGAGCCTCAGGAGGGAGGCTGGGGAAGAGAAAACCCAAGGCCTGGTTTGTGGCCCAAGGATAGGGTGTGGGTCAAGCCCCCACTCCTATCACGGGGCCTCTCGGAAGGAAAAACATTTGCCAAAAAGCCAGGAGGCTGGGCCCAAGGGACTCACGAGGAGTAAGTGCTGCTCTCATCTGCACAGGCGCCGTCCACGTTGAGCGCAATCTGCTCCCCTTTGCTGCGGCAATAGTTGGGGTTCAGGGTGTCGATGGCCATCTCAAGCTCTACCTGCAGGCATCAAGCACCCCCACCAGCTATGAGGAACTCAAGGACACACCCAACCCGGCCACAGCCATGTCCCGACCCCAGTTCCTGCCAATCCCAGCCCTGCCCAGGAGCAGGCCGGGCACGCATCCCTCCCTAAGGGACCCCAGGGTTGAGTCTGCATCAAAGGTCACAAAGCCTAATTCCAAAAGAAAGGCCACAGTGCTTTTTTTGGGGGGGGGTGTGTGGTCACAGAGTTCTCTTTGTCCTCCCCATTCTACCCTCCAAAATCTAAATTAGGTACCAACATTTAAGATTCAAGAGATTTTTCTCATAAAAATTCTCATTTCCAACTTCTCTTGAAAAGTCAGTGCAAGTGGCAATGGGGGGCTGGCGCTACAGCCACCCTGGACAAGATACGTGTCCAGAGCGCCCAGCCCGTCACCCCATCCCCTCGAGGCACTTCGAGCTTATCAGAGCTGCTACATGGCAGCCCGTGCCTTACCCCTGTGAACACGAGCCCCCCATTCCCAGTCTCTAACTCATACCAAGCCGTATTCTCCCCTGGCCTCTCTGGAGCTGCCTACCCCCTTTCTTTCTGGAAACTTTCCTTCCTCAGCTTTCCAGGCTCAAGTGACTGGTTCTCTTCCCAACCCTCCAAATGCTCGTTCCCTGGGCTTCTAGTCCCCAAAGGCCTGTCTCCCCCGCTCACTAGCCTCAGCCCCACCCGTGTCGCCCTCCCTTCCCCCACCTCCGTCGGGGGCGGCCCCACCTTCTGCTGCTTGGGCTTGATCTTGGCTGAAAGGTGTGGAATGTCATCGTAGGTCATCGAGGCTGGACGCACAGGGTACTGGGGAGGGGAAAGGAGCCGTCAGTCCACCCTGCCCAGGCCTGGGCTCCCGGGCTCTAGCCAAGGATCAACACCAAGCAGAGACCTCTTGGTCTCCACCCGTGTCCCCTTCATATCGGCTCAATCCAGCTTCCTTCCAAAAGGCCATTTTTGAAGGCCTCTGACCTCCAAGGAACAGCCCTGAGCATCAGGAACCCAAACAGGCCCCTCTCTGGTAACCCACAGAGAGCTGCCGGGCAGGCAGGAGTGATTAGGCAGGGGACATCCCGCCAGGGGCAAGGGACATGAGACCACGGGCAGCACAGACGGAAGACCTGAGCAGTGCCGTGCTGCAGGTGGAGGACGGGCTGTGAAGACGTTAGCCCGCTCTCTCTCCACCACCCTGTACACTTATCCGTAACAAAAAGCTGCCACTGACCCACTCAGCCCCATCTGGGCCCCAATGTCACCATGCCAGAAGCCATTTTTATGTCACACTTATAAAATATACTGCTCTGAAGTCACTTGTTTGTTCTGAACATGCTGAGGACATCTTCCCACAACCGTCCTCACAGAGCACCTTCCCTTTCTCTGGCACTGGACGGACACTAGTGGACGGATAAGTCACGGTGTGGACCCGCCCTCGAGAAGCTGTGCCCAGCGGTGCCTGTACCCCAACACACTCTGGAAGGAGCCTGCTGGAGGCGTGGCAGCGCATACAGTGAACCCTCTGTGTGGGGGCCCTTTGGCTCTGCTACGTTCCAGCCCAAGGCAAAGGTGACTTCCTAAAAGCTTGCTCAGACAGCAACTCCTCCTTGCTTCCTGGGCCAAGCTTACAGCAGCGGTAGGAGGAACAGTCTAGAGCCCCACTGGTCTGGCCTGAGCCCCTGCAGCTCTGTCACCTCCTGATCTCAGGCTGGGATGAGGGGTGGTAAAGGGCAAGGTCCTGGAATCAGGCCTGGGTTCTGGTCCCAATTCTGCCTCTTGCAATGTATGGACCTGGGTCAGCTCCTTACCACCGCCAGCGTGAGCGTCCTCACCTCACCGGGCTGCTGGGGGCAGGGAATGAGGCAAAGAGAGCAGACACTGCCACAGGGTCTGGCCCACTGCGAACACACACAGGGTCACCGTCACCACCGCCAGCTCCCCGCCATTTGCAGGCAGTCAAGGATTCCAGTTCGGAAGGCCTGAAGGACAGGCTCCCAGCCCCAGAGCCTGCAAAGGGAGACCCTGGGGCAGGGGCAGGGGCAGCCAGGCCTCTCTTCCCAGCTTACATTTTGAGCACCCCCCACTGTTGCCCCGTCCTGGGCGGCGTGTGCAGTGGCTGGCCCCCCGTGCCTCACCTTCTCATACGCAACATGGAGCCAAAACACTTCAAACCATAACCTTCTTGTCGGAAATGCAAACAGTCTGCCTGTTCCTTTAAACAAGAAACAATGTTTCCTTCGGATCTAGCAATTCCACTCCTAGGGACTTGCCCAAGAGAAACAACACCACCTGTCCACACAGAAACTTGTGTGAGATGCTCACCGCAGCGCTGTTCGTAACAGCCCCAGACGGAACCGACCCAGCCGGCCACCAGTGTGCGGGTAAACTCATCGTCCACAAAAAGGAGCGTGGTACCGACACGTGCTAGAACACGAGTGAACCTTGAGACCATGCCACTAAGTAAGAGAAGCCACCTATGCCACGATTCTGTGTACATAAAACGTCCAGGACAGGCCGGTCACAGCGCGAGAGGAAGGTTAACAGCTGCCTCGGGACGCAGGCAGGAATGAGGGACGCGGGACAAAACTGTCCTAAAACAGACTGTAGAGCTGAGCTCTGGGCTGGGCTGTGCTCCGAGCACGTTGCATGGATTCATCCAAGCTGCGCAGTGACACCTGAGCGTGGGTAATGTACCTGCCACCATTTTGCAAATGAGCAAACAGACACAGAGAGCTTAAGGACCTTGCCCGGGACTCACAGCTAAGTCACGATGGCACTGGGCCTCAACGTGCCTGCCGCTCCCCAGAGCCTGAACCACGACACTGTTCTGCCTCACGGAGGCCTTGGTTTCCCCATCTTCGGTTTCAGAGACTACTGACCTGTGTGCTACTGACTTCTGTGCCGGCCCACAGAAGCCAAAAGAACACCCCCCACCCCCGCCACCCGTTCCACACTCTGGCATCCAGAACCCTAAGCGAGGCTGAGGTTTCCCGGTACCCCCCACTCCCCACCCCCACGCCTAGGAGGCCCCTTCACCCTCTGGTCTCACCATTACCTGAAACAGATAGAGCTTCTCTGCCAGACTTTTGGCCAAGTACACATCGATCTGGGAAAAAGGGAAGAAGATTTAAACAGGAGACAGACAGGTGCGTGGCCTGAGCGGCCCCGCCCCTCCTCCCTGGATGTTAGGGCTCTGACTCCTAGAGGCAGTGTGGGGGAGGAGGCTCAGCCACCGCTAGAAACAGAGGAAACTGAGGCTCCAGCCTCCCTCTCTACAGCTAGAGTTCCTGGCCCCCTGCTAGGTCCGCTGCAACACAATAAAAATGGGCTTTCCGCCGGGGCTGCTCAGATCACGATGCATCCTAGAGCCAGAGCAAATGCTTTTCTGATGAGGCCGGGGCAGAGGAGAGCTTACGCACTTGCTGCACTTCCTCCCCGTGCCCTCCACCACCTCCCCCGGACTGACCTGTCACCCACCTCAAGGTGGTCTGTAAGCCCATCTGAGAATGATCCGGTCCAACTCTTTCTTCTCGGTACTAACCACCCCTGCCCCACCGTGCAGCAGTGTGCCTCCCTGCTTCCTGGCTCTTCGTTGTGAACCATGTTCTCTCCCACCACGAGGCCTTAAGGAGGAGTGAAGGGCATCAGCGCAGGCAAAGCCTGTGTGAAGGGCATTCTAGGTGGAGGGAGCAGCATGTGCAAAGGCCCAGAAGCTCTAGGATGTATCTGGATCTGGGCTGACTCTGGAACCTACCTCCCCACCATCTGCATCTTGGGTCTCCTTCTTTGTCAGATCCTAAGTTTCCCGAGGGCAGGACACTGCCTTGCTCACGGCTGTCATAGCCCCCAGCACACAGTGGATCCAGGGAACAACTGCTGAATGACTTCTGGGCAGGCCCAGGAAGAAGGGGGAGTTGTTGAACCCATTCATTCATTCAACAAATCATCACTGAGTATCTAGTGAGTGGCAGGCACTGAACTTGGCTTTGTGGACACAGTGGTCAAAGAACAAAATCCCTCCCTCATGAAGCTTACATTCTAGGGGAAGGAGATTATGTCTAGGGGACGGGGAGTGCTGTGACCAAGCACAGGGTGTAGCCAAGGGAGGGCTCGGGGGGGCCAGGAAGGGTGTTCATGAGGCGGGTTGGGGGGCAGGGGTGGTGTCAGGGAATCCTCTTTGACAAGGAAATGTTGGATCAGAGAATGGGAGCAAGTGAAGAACTCAGTTAGGCAGTAATCTGGAGGAAGAGGGTTCCAGGCAGAGGGAACAGCCTGCGTTAGGGGTCCCTAGGATGCCAGCTGATGCCCGGCCAGCGCGAGGATGGATGGAAGAGCCTCCACCCCACTTCCTGCAGCACTGGACTCGGGTACTGCTCCCTGGTAGCCCCAGCAGAGCGCGGGGAACAGCAGTTACCTCCTGTACGACTGGGTCATCCTCTTCATTGGCCATACTAGGGGGGAGCCAGCCGCACAATCCTCGGACTCAATCTGCAAGGGAGAGTAAGAAGCCTGAAACGTCAGTCAGCCATCCCGCCAACACCCCTGGGTGTCTCTGCTGCCACAGGCCTGCTCTGAGAGGGAGGAGCCTGAGACAAACAGAAACTGACCTTCTCTCTACAGCCTTCCTGGAATCAACAAGAGATGGCCCATTCTATACCCCAGTGGCCAGAACCAAACAAGAAGGTGAAACCACCAAGGCAGCACCTGTCGGCTACACCCACGGGAAAGAATAAATGACCAGCTTTAAGGTTTTTTTGACCACTCACAGAAAAGAGGTCACTGTCAGGCAGGGGGATGGAGGCCGGCTGGCCCACAGCTGTGAAGCAAGCACTCGAGCACTAACCGGGGGCCACGGGGAACCAGTAAGGAGAGTCTGGCGTCCAGCAGGAAGAGCAAGCAGTCGCAAGACTTTCCAGGGGGCTCGGTCTCTGGTATTTGACTTTCAAGCAGACTTCAAGCCCAGTGCCCATGAGACGATGCTGTTTGGTGTGTGTGACACAAAATGACCTTCTTCACAGACTTTAATGTATTCAACACACCAACCCTGCAAGGTGGCCCGACTGTCCCCAGTTTCTAAGGGGGTACTGGAACTCGGGGATGCCGTGCACATGCTAGCCAGAGCCACAGAGCACGCAAACGACGCACTGGGCTTCAAAGCGAGGCCAGCCAGGCTATCTGACTTCAGGTAAAAGCCAGCAGTCAGGGAGCTCCAAGGGATGGGAAGAGCCTTCTGCCAGGAAGGAGGAAGGGGCATCTGGGCTGGACCCTGAAGGAGAGAAGGATTTGGATAAGCCATGACACCAGACGGTAGGAGGGATCCCAGGGGACTGGCAACACACCAAGCACCTGGAGGGGAGAAGGCTGCATGTCTCCCCAGCAGAGGGGAAGTCATTCCGCAGGGCTGACTCTTCATAGTCCCAAAGGGAGGGGCTGGTTACGCGGATACCTTCAGAAGCCCAGCAGCCCAGGGCCCTAGTTCTGGGTTAGAACATCATGATTTTTGTTTTATCTACTTAACATCTGAGTTATTCAATATTTAAAAGGGTGCAATACTTCACCATAGGTGGGATTCAAGGTCATCTAAGCCCTCCGCCTGAGCTGTAGGACCTGAAATCCTTTCATGCATTCCAGATCCACATTCCCAATTCAGACTGCTCAGCCCCAATGCCAGCCTCATCCCCAAGCCTCTGCTCCCCTCACCACACGCTAGCAACTCCTGTCAGGCCCACCCTGAAGGTAGGTCTGGGGTCCGGCCACCCCACTGCAGCCTCCCCAGTCCAGCCAGCTCCACTGCCTGCCTACAGGGGTGCCTGACAGCAACGCCCTAAATGATCTCCCTGCCCCACTTGCAACCTTACGACCTTCACCCAACCCCACAGCCAGCACCAGTGATCACTCTGAAAACCCCATCAGAGCTCGCCAAGCCTCTGCCTTCAAGGGCCTCCCGTCCCACTCAGGACAGACGCTGGAGTCTTTATGGCCTACCCACTGCTGCCACCGCCCCTTCACCTCTCAGACCTCATCTCCCACAGGCCCCCTTCCTTTCTCTCCCCCCACCTTGGGCCTTGGTCACCACTCTACCCCCAGAGCCTCACGGCTCCTTCCCTCACCTCTTCCAGGTTTTTGTTAACACCTCACCTCATCACTAAGACCTACCCTGTCTAACCTACCCAAAATTGCAACACCTCCCTACAATTCCCTTCCCTGCTCTGGTTTTCCCCAAAGCATGGATCACCACAGGGCAGTTAACACCTCCGTTATTATTTTGTCCCCAGCCCCATTGCCACTAAACTGTAAGTCACATGGAGACAGAGATTCTGGTCTGTTTTGTCCCTTGCTATTCCCCTGAGCCCGCAGCAGGCACTCCATACATACCTGCTGTCTGAAGAAATGAACCACAGAAAGGCTATTTAACTGGGAGCTACCAAAGACTTTTGAGTGGAGGAAGATGTAGAGGGAGCAAGAAGGCAAACCAGAGGGAAGCCAGCTGCCCCAGCAGTTACAGCTAGAAGACAGAATGAGAATCAGAAGCCCTAAACTGACAGTCCAAGGTGTGTGCTCCTGCCAGAAAGAGGGAGAGGGATGGCAGAGCCTCAGGCCTTTCCCCATCCGCACTGGCTGCCAAGGGTCACAGGTGCACAGGGAGCCCAGCCCCTCTGCAGGCTGGGAAACTTCCACGTGAGTCAGGGAACAGGTCATATATACAAAGAGGTGTGGCCTGGGAGGTTCCCCAGACGCAATAATTCCTGAGAAACTGGCTTTCTCAGCTGTTATTGGGCTCTACTGACCTCTCCCCCAGCCACTGAGGAACTCGGGGAGGAAGAGGTACCTGGAGTTGTGGCTCCTCCTCCACGGTGCGCGTGACTAGGGTAATGCCGGGCTCTCACTTCCCCTCATCCTCCCGACCAACATCATCCAACTCAGTGGCTTTCCAAGTTTTCAGCCTAAGACCTATAGCAAGAAATCCACTGCACGGAGGAGGAGCAAGATGGCGGAGGAGTAAGAGACAGAAATATCATCAGGTCCCAGGAGTTCAGCTAGATAGTTATCAAACCATTCTGAACACCTACAAACTCAATAAGAGATAGAAGAGAATAACAGCAATTGTAGGAAAAGAAAACCAACCACTTTCCGGAAGGTAGGGCGTGTGGAAAAGTGAATCCGAAGTGATGAGATGATATACCGCAGGGGGAGGGGCTGGCTCCTGGCAAGCGATGGAGCAGCGCAGCACAAAATCAGAACTTTTAGAAGTCTGCTGAGCTGAGGGACGTCACTCCAGAGGCTAAGCAGGTGGTGGAGCCCTCACGGGGACAGTGTGGTCTCAGGACCCACGGGGTCACAGAACAACCAGGGGTGTCTGACTTTGGCAGAGCTGCCAGGTATCAGAGAGGGGAAGCCAGATGCAGAGATGGCGCCGAGAAGTGAGCTCTCAGCTCAGGGTTACCTTAAACCATGACCCAAGGCATAGTTGGGCCACTGCTCTTCAAGCAGGGACCCCACAAGTGGCAGATCCGGGGAGACTCCCTTCTTCCTCCTTTGGGAGGAGTGGTGCAAGAGCGTGCTGCAGGAATCTGCTGGATTTGGAGACTCCAAACAGGGCTGGGCGCCAGAGATAGAAACGCTCGGTCACAGGCCAAGTGAGCATGGAGCATGGTGGGAGATCAGGGAAAGGGGAGTGACTGACCCCTTTTCTCTGAGGGCGCACTGAGGAGTGGGGACCGGAGTTCTAGGCAACTCCGGGCAGAGATTGAGAGGCCGCCATTTTCATTCCCTACCTCCAAAGTTCTACGGAAAGCGTAGAACAAATGCTCCCGAGAGCGAACATGAGCAGATTACATAGCCTGACTCCTGGCAAAGGCTGTACAACTCCGCCTCAGGCAAAGACATTAGAGAATCACTGCAACAGGGCCCTCCCCCAGAAGATCACCAAGAACATCCAGCCAAGGGGCACCTTGGGTGGCTCAGTGGGTTAAGCCTCTGCCTTTGGCTCAGGTTATGATCTCAGGGTCCTGGGATCGAGCCCCGCATCCGGCTTTTTTTTTTGACTGTCAAATAAATAAAATCTTAAAAAAAAAAAAAAAAATCCAGCAAGACCAAGATCAATGAGAACTGCGAAACTCCAGCACTACGGGAAGCAACACATAGAATTCATGGCTTTTTCGCCATGATCCTTTAGTCTTTCAAAGTTAAATTTAAGGGGCGCCTGGGTGGCTCAGTGGGTTAAGCCTCTGCCTTCAGCCCACGTCAAGATCTCAGGGTCCTGGGATCGAGCCCTGCATCAGGCTCGCTGCTTAGCGAGGAGCCTGCTTCCCCCTCTCTCTCTCTCTGCCTGCCTCTCTGTCTACTTGTGATCTCCCTCTCTCTGTCAAATAAATAAATAAAAATCTTTAAAAAAAAAAAGTTAAATTAAAAAAAAATTTTTTATTCTATTTTTAAAAATCTTTCCACTTTCCTATTTTAACATATTTTAAGCTATTTTATCTTATAAATACCTTTTAAAAATATTTTTAAATTCTCATTATTATAGTCATATTTTATACCGTAATTGTATTTAACCTTTTTTTAAGATTTTATTTATTCATTTGACACAGAGATCACAAGTAGGCAGAGAGGCAGGCAGAGAGAGAGGGGAAGCAGGCTCCCAGCTGAGCAGAAAGCCTGATGTGGGGCTCGATCGCATGACCCTGGGATCATGACCCGAGCCGAAGGCAGAGGCTTTAACCCACTGAGCCACCCAGGTGCCCCTTTAACCTTATCTTTAATATACATATAAAGGGTTTTTTTTTTTTTCTTTAAATTTTGGGATACAATTTCTTCTAATAGATCAAAACATACCCTAAATCTAGCACATGGCTTTGTTCTAGTCTCCAGCCTGATCACACTGGTTCCTTTTCTTTTCTCTTTTTTCAACCAACATCTTACCTTATCAATTCCTTTTTTAGAATCTTTTTAAATTTTCATCTTTACAGTCATATTCTATCCCTTCATCATGTTTACCCTTATTTTTGTATATATATGTTTTTCTCTAAAATTTTGGGAGGTAGTTTCTTCTAACAAACCAAAATACATCCAAAATCAAGCATGTGGCTTTGTTCTATTCA